AAAAAAAAAAGAAAAGGAAACTCAGTGTGATCTAAAGGCAGTGAATTCTGGGAAAACCTCTAAAGGGGGTGGCCATCGTAACCGTATTTATCATCTGCTGGAAAGGAGCATAGAAAACACTTGAAAGATTCCCCGACAGAAGGAAGAAGCTTTAGACCTACTTAAAAATTTGTGAGACACTTCTGGGAGCAATACTTCCGGGTCCCTTGGAGCTCATGATGAAACTCATAATTTATAATCTAAGAATTCCTCTAGTGTCCGGCACAGCAAATACCCTCGGGGCTTCTGTAGCAGCTGGGGAAAGGACCAGGCTGCTTTCTGAGCAACCTCTACTGAGGAGAAGGCAGAAACTGAGCTCCCCTAGGCTCTCCAGGGAAACTTCATCTTACAGTTTCCCCACAGAAATAGGCAATTAGGCTCGAGAGTCACAAAAAGGGAAATTTATGACCAGCTTACTGAGGCAGAGGCTTGCAGGTCTCTCTGAAGGGCTTCAGCGCTATCGGTTGGCTGCTGGACAGTGGCTTCCAATCTGGTGTTTTCGCTTTCAAAGCTTAAGAAGAAATACAGGTCTTATTACCAGAAAATCCAACTCCAGACAAACTGTGCTAAGTAACAGAACCCACAGCAGAAGTGTCCTTCAAAATCCGACTGACTGACTGACTGTCCCATTGTTTCCACCCAATCCCCCAAAGCGACAGACACCTCGCTTCACTGTGTTACTCTCTTACTGTTGCACGCGTTCTTCCAGTTGTTTAAGAGTGGTATTAGTCTCGGAAGATGCCAACAGGAGGTCCTGCAGTTTCTGGGAAGGAGTTACTGCTTCTCTTTCCTTATCATCCAAGGCAGTCTTCGAGTCACGAACGCAATGCTCAGACTGAAGACGCTTTTCTTCCTCCTCCCGCAGCTGTAAAATCACGGTAAGAATCCACAGTTGTCAGGTGAGCTTTCACATAGAGGAGCCAGCTGCTGCTGAAGAACTCAGGTGCTGCATGTATGTGTGCATCCCCTCTGCCCAGAGAACTGGAATCAATTCAAGTACCTTCAAAGCTTCACTTCCACTACCCAATGAACACAAGCTGTATTCCTTTGTCCTCTTTTACAGCAGCCTCTCCCACCCCTCCACTGCTTTCCTACAGCGCGGTTCTAAGCACCGACACTGCCCTTCCGACCTTTTTTGTGACCTGTGGCGCTTCTTGTATTCCCTTGCTTGCTATTCCAGGAAAAGATGAGTGAAACAGTTCATCTTCCTAAAGGAAGGCGCCTCGCAAGGGTCAGAGGCGAAGTGCTCTGGCACATGTGCTCTGGAGCCCAGGATTGCACCAGGGGAGCATGGGGAGTTTTCTTAAGTGGGAAAGGCCCCGACTGTAGCGCAAAGAGAGGCGCCCAGCAGCCCCTGAGCAGGAAGCAGAGGATGCCTGAGGAGAGGCAGCTCTGCTTCAGTGTGGTGGGGCCAGGAAGGATGGCATCACTGACAAGCTGATGACCACCATTTCAGCAAAGGCAGCCAGGTGAACTGCTCCACAGACCTGCCCTGGAGTCGAGAATCGCGCCAGGGGTGCGTGGGGAGTCTTCTTAAACCAGGAAGACCTCGAATGTAGCAGAGAGAGAGGAGCCCCAGCCCCCCTGACCGGTAAGGGGTGAAACCCTAAGGAGAGGCAGCTCTGCCTCAACAGGGCGGGTTGTGGAGCAGAGGCAGATCAAAGCCCGATGTAACTGCCGCTTCCTTAGGTCTCTGTCATACTGGCTCCCAGAATACTGTTTTGTCCCTTTCCATGATGTATAGGAAGCAACGGGCACCGCCAGGTTTATCCCTGTAGGGACAGGCTTTCCATACCTCCGCGTCAGCCCTGTCCAACTCCTCCTGCAAGCGCAGATTATCTTCCTCCGGGTGAGCCTCATGGGTTCCAGTATCCACAAGAGCAGTCCTAAAGCATCCAAGATTTAATCTGAAACATGTCTGATCCTGCATCATTTTTCCCCTGCTTGCTCCCAAAAGAGCCCTTCCCCCCTTTCCTACAAGCTCCGTGAAAGCAAAGCCAAGTACATGGAAGCATTGGAGGATTCATCTTAGAAGGGGCCTCCCTAAAGCAGCCTCAACTACGAGGTCAGGCCATGCTGTTCAGGGCTCCTTGCACTGCTCTTCCAAGTCCCCACAGATGCGGCTGCACAAAGTCCCGGGGCAAGCCGTTCGACCGCCTGACCATCTACATGGCAGGAAATTTTCTCCTTATGTGCGGTTGGAGCCCCTCGTGTCCCCTCGGACGCTGTTGCTTCTCTTTCTCCCAGCGCTTCCCTTCAGAGCACTTAATGCACCAAGTATGCCTTGGCTTAAACCTCCCTCGCCTGCAGAGCAGCCATGCTGCTGAGCTACTGGCAAGTTTCCCGATGGCTCTGGGTCTGTGTGGGGAGAGGGCACCACAGACAACGAACGCTTCCTTGCAGACCTCAGCGGGCAAAGTACGAGAGCCCCTAAGGTACAAGAGCAGCCAAGTGCAGACCTGCATTTACCAGTCACACGGGGAACAGCTTCCACGTGGCTCCTCCTTCTTTTTCCAAGCTCATTGCCACGCCCCTCGTCTCGGTCACACTTGCAGGCTACCGAGAAGACCCGTGTGCTGTTTTGACAACCCCCTCACCTTTCACATTGGGCTTGAGCATGCCTGTCAGCTGCTTTTTTCAGAAGGCACTCCAGCATCTCCTCATGCTGTTGGAGGGCTGCAAGTTTTAAGGGAGTAAATCCCCTCTAAAAGGACAAAATACTCGCCATTAGAAAGACGCAGACAAGCTCTGCAGCTGTTTGAAAGAGCAGCTTTACCCACGTGGCAAGGTTACCTGGTTCCGAGCATCACTACTGGCATTATGCTCGAGTAACAGCCCTGCTACAGCTGTATTTTTAGATAGGACAGCCAGGTGAAGGGCAGTGTTGCCGTCAGTGTCTGCCAGATTCGGGTCGGCACCGTGTTCCAGCAGAATAGCAACACATTCTTCCTGCTCCTGCTGTACTGCCTGGGAACAACACAAGAAAAGGGGAAGACTTCCAACTTTTACATCCCCCTCTGTCACAACTCCCTCAGCTCCTGAACGCTGGGATAGAAGACCATCTTCAAAGATTAGTTAACAGAGGCCTATGCCACGCCGATTGCAATATGCATGTTTCTATGGCCCTGCGGTGCAAGGAATCCTGCCAGACACCTCCCCTTTAACACACCATCACTAATCCCCACCTACAAGATCATAAGGCATTCCACACACCTTCATGAGTGCCGTTCTCTTGAAGTTGTCAGCGAGGTTCGGCTGGCTGTTCTTTCTTATCAGATATCTAACGACATCTGCATGGCCATTTGCCGAAGCGAGATGCAGAGGTGTCCTAAAAATTAAACATACGCTCTTAACCTAGACAGACAAAGGATGAGCCAAAGCTGTGTCTCTACCCAGCACCCTGGGGACCCTGCCCGGACTCTGCTCCTCCCGCTTGCTGCTCTCTGCTGCTGCTGCAATCCTGCGCTGATTAGCCCGAGGGCAGAAGAGAACAGGTGAGGGCTGAGCAGCTGCAGAACAGCCCTGCAGAGAGACCACGGCGAAGCGGCAGGTCGGCAACACGCGTTTCCAACAGCGCTGGAGTCCAGCCGGCAGCTACAAGCAGTGAAAAGCTCAAGAGTTCACTCTCCCAGCTGACAGGGCAAATCTCACTTTTCAAGCCTTGTCCTTGAGAGAGGGCTGCCGAGGACTACTGCAGCTTGTCTCAGGAGCAGCCAAGGTGTGCCACCAGCATCCCACAGAACTCACCGCATCTCCTGGTCTCGCCTGTCGATGCCGACTACCTTCACATACCAGCGCCAGCGCCTCAGCCAGGCCAGGTCGCCGTGGGCGGCCGCGCGGTGCAGCCTGCTCAGCCCCTTCTCCCTGAGCTCGGAGGCGCTGGTGGAGCTGGTGGCAGCCCAGGGCTGCCCACTGGTGCTGCTGGATGGCGACTGCCGTCGCTTCTTGCAGAGAAGCCACGGCATGGCCCTGCTTGGAGCTACCAGCAGCAGGAAGTGCAAGAAGCCCCCGGCGGGCTGCCGGGTGCCAGGTAGGGATGACGAATGGGACGAGGGTGAGGTTTAGGGTGAGGGTGACAAAGGGGACAAGGACGAGAATAAGGACGGGCACGGGGTATAAAGCACAAGGCAGACGAGGTCGCCCTGCGCAGCGGTCGTGGCCTGCAGCTACCAAGGCGGCGATACAGACGCGCAATGCTCCCAGAACGGGATGTGCTGCTGCTCCCCGAGAGGCTACAGCAGCTCTGAGCGCCGGCTCGGGGCACCAACAAAGCCGTGCCCGACTGGCCCCTGTGGCGTCACAATGGCTGGTGGAACGCTCAGCACGTCACCGTGGGGTGTGACAGAGGCCACGCTGCAGGGTGGGGCCGGGCAGGACATGGCAGGGCGAGGCAGGTGTGAGGGCGGCCCTGCTGGGCCTTGTGGGAAGGAGGCGGCCTGGGCCTTGTGAGGGTGGCGGTCACATGTCCTCCAGAGGGTTTATAAGGAGGCATTTTTCTTTTAAATAAACAGATTTGACTGCTTGCCAACTAGCTGCTGTGTCGTGTCTTTTATATTATATTAATATACCACACCAGGACAATTCCCCAACTCCTTTGTCTTGTCCCTCTTGAAGAGCAGACACCTCTTAACTGCTGTCACCTGCTGCTTTGCCAGATGCCAACAGTGAATTTCTGCTCTGCTGCTCCACCGGCCAGTGGGCAGCACACAGCAGGGCAGGAAGAAACTTTCAAACACATCTTGTCCCAGTTTGTCCCAATGACAACACAAAGTGAAGGCCCAGAGGTTCTGCACCAGCTTTCTCAGGGGAGGGACGCTACAATGCACCGCAAGCAGGCTGAAGAAATTTCCCTTTTTCTTTGCGGGCTACAAACCGGTCCGCTTCCCACAGGATCAGGGATTTGCCCGTGTTTTATGGCTACCAGAAGCTCACCCACTATCTTCTGCCCAGAACACAAAGAGGATGGCTCTAAAGCACTGGAAGAGTCTGGCAGCTGATTAGTAGCAATAGCTCACCTGCAGGCCATGATCTTAATACGACTGTGCTTCAAGCCTTCACGGAGGAAGGGGACACATTTGCCTGGCCTCTGGGACAGGCTGAAGATGCAGCTGTGAGCAGAGCTGAAGGGAGCAGAGGAGAGCTCTGGCTCGGCCTTCAGGCCTGGCTTCTCTTTCAGCCTTGAAGATGTCTGCCACACTGATTTGCACTCAGATCAAGGGCAGAGAGAGAAGTCTTAACTCCCGGCCCTGGAAGAAAGCCTTAATAAGCCTTCAAAAATATGACTCTCCTCATCCCTCCCACCTAGGTCCAAAGAGCTCCAATTCTGTGACCAAACGCAGCAGTTCTCCTAAAATGTTGTGACAGTTCTGGCAGCCATGCCCTTTCTGCCAAAGTTGGACAGGTCCCCACCTGTCCCAGAGGCAAGCAGAGGGAAGAAGAGGGTACAGCCTTGTGATCGGGGAATGGGAGGAGCAAAGCCGGCAGGGGGAACAGAAGAAAACAAGGACACA